GGCATTGAAAGGGACTGAATGTGAGTATGCAGAAAGATGAGTTTGGAAGCTGGTGTGGAGGTACCTATCTGTAATCACAGCACTTGTGTGCTTGAGGCAGAAAAATGGGGTGTTCACAGCCTACCAGGGCTGTCTGCTGAGACCCTACCTATAAAAGCAGATAGAGTAGGTGAATGTGCAGTTGTCATAGATGATTTCAAAGAGATTTCCAAAGTTGTTGGACAGTAGCTCTTGCTTAAACACTCCCTTATTCCTGCATCAGCTTTTGTATTTTGTCCCCTCCTGCTCCCACCATCAGCCCCACATGACTGAACTAGAAGCTTGCTTACTGCCTGTCTGTTTAGGGATTGGTTGAATGTGCACACACATTCATCGTGAACTTGAAAACATTAAATATTCCAGATATTTTTCTATGATAAAGAAACGTTTCCAGAGATGCTGTCCTCTTCCTTCTGCACCCAAGCTGCTGGATTAGCTGCATGCATTTAGGGTCAATTCTGCCTTCAATGATAGCCATTTATGGAGTCGCCATGCCCGGATCTATGTACTCTTTTGTGTCTGTCTGACCAGATCCAGTGTCCACTGATCTCTATTAAGGCAAGTTCATTCTATGTCCACTGAAGCCTCTACCTCTCCACACCTGGCTTTCACTGTCTCTTCTTGAACTGAACTCATCAATACCTTGTGCTACTGCAGCCTCATCATTTTTTTCTCTTCTCCTGGTACCCAGACCCTAAAGATGTGGACACCACTAGGCTGTATCAGTCAGCATAGGTGTTTTGTTTGGGTGAGGAAGATTCTTGAGATCTATGTAACAGCATCTTTGACAGGTGAGACTTCTGGCTCTCACGAAAACTCCAACAGCTCCACACATTTCCAGGACATCGTCCTCTGCTTACACCCACCAGGGGAAATGTTTGGGGACAGTCACTCTCATCTCTTTCTTAGCTCCTGCTGTCTGTGCTTCAGTGACACTCAGCAAGGCTCTTCGAGTTCCTGTACTTGTCTATGCACTGAGAGTTTATGAAGTTGGGACTTGCTCCAAGATATTCTCTAGACATAATTACAATGATTTTTGTTCATTGAATTTTAAAAAGGAATGAGCTAATAGAGTGCCTGGTTTATTACATTTTATTATGAATTAAGCAACCACACGACTTTTTACTTTTAAAATTATCACAATATCAATTTTGTTTAATTAACACTATTTCTCTGTCATTTTTTTCTGTGTTGCATGTGGTATTATATACTGATAGATATGTACCACAGCACTAGGTTTTCATGCAGGTGATGAATGTTGAACTCAGGTCCTTATGTTTGTGCAACAGATAATTTACCAAAGACTGAACTAGCTCTCCCATTTCTTATTGGCCTTTTCTATCTATATAAGAAATATCACAAGTAAGTTTAGGCTCCAAATATGACAGAAATCACAGGATTTATTCCTTGAAGAAAAGGTTAGCTCAAAGAAATTAGAAATCATCAAGTTAAGGGTTTTACAAGTATCTTCATATTTTATATCAGCACTCTCATAAGTAGAGCTCAAGGCAAGGATACAAGGGCACATTGTTTAGGGTATCATTTGATACCAGGGCTTTGTCCACCTCACATCCATCTGAGTAGACCACAGCCAGCAGATGAATAATGATTCTTACTTACCATCTGATTCTCCTTCAGATCACTAAGACTCTGCTTGGATTGTGTTCCTAGGACCACTGGCCTGAGATAGGAAGAAATCCAGGAAGCATCAATAGGAAGCTGGTGAGATGAAGCAGGAAGTATGCCCAGGTAGGCTATAGTATTAATAGCCCACGTGAGCCAAACTGGGTGCAAGCAAACCCTTTAAGGTGAGGTTGCCAAATTTTGCAAATAATTTGTTCAATTTTAATTCCTGCTAAACACCTGTAACGTTTTTGTGTAAAAGTGTTCCAGGAGATAGTTAGGGTATACTTATAAAAATCACTTTGTCTGAAGATATAAAAACATGTAAGATATAAAACTTACAGTTTAACACAACTGGGCCTCAGTGGGTGATGGATCAGAGGGAGACATTAGTTAAGTACATAAGCTCATTGCCTCTAGGTGGGAGAGCTACTGAGTCCCAGTTGTGTTAAACTGTAAGTTAGACTTTCAGAATTCTCTTGATACAAATAAATGTCAATGCTATGTCTATATATTTTTATCATCTGTTTATTGACTGTCCATGTTCTACCTGCTCAGTATGTGGGGATCCATATTTCATCTGTTTTCACTAATCTATGGGAAGCATTTATTCCTTAGTCAAAGACAAAGAAGATCAACTACTTATAATTTCAGAGCTACTTCTCCACATGCTTGGCAAATGTGTATACTCTCCTTGTCTCTAGGGCTGTGACCCTACTTGGGAATTGTACAACTCACTTAGATCATGGCAAGAAATCATTTCTTCCCTTCTGGCTTCTCTTGGCTGAAATTCCAGTTTTAAATTATTGGGAATAAATGTAATTTGGCCTTGTGACATGTGATATATTCAACTGCTCTGGGGAAAGGGCAAAAGATATTGATAAAATAAAATGTCTTTTTGCGAAGCCACACAAGTCAGGAATTGTGTTCTATTATGTTTAAATAACACTAAAGAGTCTTCTCTTTCCTTTTCCCAACTTCCTTTAAAGGTAAGTGCTCCATTTGGCTACTTTTAAAAGGCAAGTAACAGGTCATAGTCCAGCCAATGGACCATAGCATGTCCAAAGTAGTCTACAATCCTAATTTGATCCTCATTCAAATTGAGCCATTTGTGTCTTGAAAAAAAAAAGATGAGCAGACAGTAGCCATGGTGGCCATGTCTGCAAGGAAACCCAGTGAAAGTTAGGTTGGGGCTGAAACATAGCCATGCTCTACTTACCTAATTTGTGTCATGGGCAAGGGCTACTTTTCTCTCAGAGGATGAAGCATCATTTTTTTTTTTTAAATAAAGACAAAGATAGTTGGTGCGTTGAAGTGAAACTTCACAATAGCCTTCAAACATTTTTGTGCTTTGAGTTTTGAAACCACGTCATTTAAACATTCCTGGAAATTTTTCACTATTTGTGACACCCATACAATGCTCACTGAAACATGTCAATTTGTATATAATATACAGGGCCTTTGTTCACAGTTGAGGTGAGTAGAAGGTCCTTCTTCTCATGGTGAGGAATTTTCCAGATCATGGAACCATAGATTTCTTCACCCTCTGTGGTGGTATAAGCGAGTTATGCACTTTAAAACATAATTCAGTCATAGCTGGAAGAGAATCTCTATGATAGTACACTTGTCTTGCATGAGAGAAGCAAAAGGTTTAATACCTAACATCAACAAAGTGAATCAACAAGTTATTTAATTTAGATTTTTTTAAAAAGCTGATCTGGCTGGCACATAATCTCAGAATTTAGGAGATGAAAGCAAGAGAATTAGAAGTCAAAGTGATTCTTTGCTACATAGTGAGTTCAAGGTTAACCTGTGCTACATAAAAGCCTGTTTCTTTTTTCTTTCTTTTTTTTTTTTGTTTTTTTTTTTTTTTTTTTGGTTTTTCGAGACAGGGTTTCTCTATGTAGCCCTGGCTGTCCTGGAACTCATTCTGTAGTCCAGGCTAGCCTCGAACTCTCGAACTCAGAAATCCACCTGCCTTTGCCTCCCAAGTGCTGGGATTAAAGGCGTGCGCCACCACCACCCGGCTAAAAGCCTGTTTCAATACATATTTTTAATTTATTTAAAAAATAACTATAAAACAAATTTAAACCTGTGGGCTTTCAAATATTAAGTTTTATGAATCTGTAGTGCTTTTATATCTAAGTAAACTAACTTACTAAGTTAAAACTGCATAAGGAATCTAAGATCTCTGAATGGTCTCATAGGATGACCTGAAACTTTCACACATGATCTCATTTTTTGTGTTTTATTTTTGTTTTGTGGTTTGGGTTTTTGTTTTTAATTACTGGGTCTCATTCTGTAGCTGGGGTAGCCTAGAACTTACTATCTAAGCCAGTTCAACCTTTCTTTATTAATCTTCTTGTCTCAGTTTCTTAAGAACTAAACCTATAGGTATGAGTGTGGCTATGGCCCCACAATCTCACCGAATACACACTGTACTAAAAACGTCAGTGTCTCCACCCTATGGTCTGGTAACTCGGGTCTGGAGACCTGTGCTTTTCAACATGGGAGCCATCAGACCCGTGTCGCGACTGAAAACCACAAATCCGAGTCAGGATTGGGACATGTACATTTCATATCACATTTTGAAGATTTGGTGTCAAAAATAAAAAGAATATAAATTAGCTCAATAATATTTTGTTGATTATACATTAAAATTGAATGAGTTTGGAATAGGCTAATTATATTTTAAATTAGCTCCCTTTGTTTTTTTTTTTTTTAGCTACATTTAAAGTCATCTACTATAAAATTTAATACTATTTCTATAACTGGCATATTTCTATTGGAAAATCCTTTCCTAAAGCAATCAGTGCTGGCCAATTCCCATATAAATCTGTGGACTAGATATTATTTTGAAATCAGCATGAGATGGATTGACAAGTGGTTCTTTTAACGATGTGTGAAATTTCTAGACCTTTAGAGTCCATAAAACCTATTTTAAAGAAACGTTTCTATAGTAATTGAGATTTGGGAGTAAATAAGATTATGAGATAACTTGCTTCTTTGAGGGGCAAAGTCAACCTCAGAAGACTCAAAATGAACCAGAGAGCATGTTGGAAACTACCAAACCCAGCATCTGTAGAAGCTTCTGTCCCTATGTTGATCTAGGAACTGGTCCTAGTACACCTGCAAAGTCACCAGTAGGGACCAGCAGCATCCGTCTAGAAACTCTCATCAACAGAAGAGAGCTGAGTTGTTTGTAAAATTATTTCCTCAGCTTGGAAGTGCTTTCTAACTGTGCATTAAAAACAAAACAAAAGAAAAGAAAAACCAAGAGATCTAACAGTGATTCTATTTAAACTGAAAAAAGTTCTCCCTTAGAAAAATACGTTTACCCTGCCCCAGAGTTATTGCAAGTATGGCTGCTTTGTCACGTGTGCATCAGGAGGTGGCAGAGAGGAGAGAGGCTCTGCTATACTCAGTGTTCTAACCTATGAACATCTGAATAATTAGGAGCTTAACCTTCCCTGAAATAAGGTGAGCTTAAGATGACCACCAGTCGCAGCATAGGGAGTAAGTTAGGGGAGGGAGTCTAGAAACAACTCTCTAGGACTGCAGACCCCAAGTGAGAGTGAGACAGAGACAGATAACCCTCTCACAAGGGCCACTCAGGTGAGCAGGATGGATGAGAAGTGTGCTTCAGATGACCACCAGACTGGCATCACAGCCAGCAGTCCAACACAGCAAAGATCTTGGGGAGCAGATAATGCCTGAGATGACCCCTGCCCAGCACCGCAATGCACAGATGGGGCAAAGCACTCCTGAGACCACTCCTGCAACAACTCAAGACACTCAGAGACCCCCAGTTTACTAAAAGGAGCAAGTAAGTGATGAAGAGATGGAGAGAAACAGAAACAAGGATGTGGGCACAGTGAAGACAGGCTGAACAGGAGACACAAGGGTAGTGAGGGACAGCCTGATGTGAGTAGCCAGTGATGCCACCTGGGACCATAGTGGGGTCCTGGTCTGTGCTGCTATTGGAGGGCCATGTCTTGGTCCCTGCCCCTGAAGCAGCAGTGGCCTGTTACCACCAAAGTCCAGGCAGATGTCTCTGGTCTATTCTGCTGCCTGGAGACATATTGATGTCTGGGGGCTATGTAAAACTGACCCCAGCCCTCACTTGATCATGATGGGAGATCTGGCCCTGAAAGTAGGAGAGCAGGAGAGCTTACCCAGCCCCCAAGCAGCTCGAGCAAGTACTTGGGAGAGCTGACCCTCCACATTTCAGGAGTATGTGGGTGAACTGGCTCCAAAGATATGAGCGTGAGAGAGCTGACCCTACCACTCATCTCCCATGAGGTGACATGGATGAGGGAGAGATAGCCTCCTTCCCCTCACCCCTCACTACCTGTGGCAGGTGGGTGACCTGGCTCTGAGGTCGTGAGATCAGGAGAACAGGCCCTGCACCTCTCCTGGCTAGCACAATAGAGCTAATCCTGGTGGGAATGTGTGGGACAAGCTGGCCCCAAGGGTGTGAGCATGGGACAATTGTCCCCCACCACTTGTCTGCCATGAGGTAACATGGGCAAGAGGGAAATGCCCTCCCTCGACCCTTGTCACCTATGACAAACAGGAGAGCTGACTCTGAGGTCATCAGAGTGGAAGAGCTGTCCCTCCCCCTCACCTGCTACAGCACTCAGGAGAGCAGGCCCTGAACCTCATCTGGGCAGCACAGTAGAGCTGGCCTTGGATGTGGGTATTGCTGGTGAGCCAGCCTCAAGGACATGACAATGGGAGACCCTGCAGGCTGACCAGCTCAAATCCCTCTCAGACCCAGATCCAAGGCTTTGAGTTGGCCAACCTCAACACCTACTTCATCAATGAACTACTGGAGTGAATGAAGGAACTTGTACTACAGTTCCAAAACTACAGTATCTCCATGAGGACAACGACAGGATACCTGAGGAGTCCCAGTAGGTTCCAGAAGCCAGAGACCTTGAACCAGATCAATGACTCATTGCAGTGGACATTTGCAAGCAGAGAAGTGTAGACAAAAGAGCATACTGTGGGACACACTGTGACACACTACAGCTTCCACAGTGAGACCTTTTTCTCTGTTGGGGAGATGTTGCAGGGGTGGAGTGTGAGTACAAGGGGGAGTGGAGATGAGTGGAATTGGGGTGTGTTATGTGAAACCCACAGAGAACCAATAACAAGTTAAAAAGAAGAAAATTTGTGTTTAAACATGCTTTGCCCTTTGGATTTCTCCCTCAGCTATTATTTTAAAGCTCTGAACAATTAACAAACAAAACAGCTACTGCCACTTGAGTCCCAATGTAAACAATAATGTCACTCTTTTCATAAAATTACTGTGTAGTTTAAATAAGATAATACTTACAAAAGTACTGGACCTCGTGTGTGTGTGTGTGTGTGTGTGTGTGTGTGTGCGTGTGTGTGTAATCAGCCATGTAACAAGTGAGTCCAAAGTTGAGCGGCTTAAAAAAATTACTTTTTCTTAGAGTTTGTTGTTGGCTTTATGGGTTGTTTGTTTGTTTGTTTGTTTGTTTGTTTTATATTGCCTGTAGGTTTGCCTGGGTATCTGTACTGAGCTTCAGGATTGACTTAGCCCTCTCCATGACCTTGTTATTCTCATGATAGGTGATTGAGATTCCTCATATGAAATTGCAACGTTCTCAGAGGGAAGGCTCTGAAGCCTTTATCATGTCTCGACCTCTGTCACATTTCCTGATGCTCTATTGGTAAAAACAAATCAAGTAGCCAAGTCTAGAACCAAGCCATGACCATACCAAAGGGCATATTTCATTGAGGGCATTGATCATAACAATTCATCATATCAAGCTACCATTTAGTCAGCCTTCACTAAGTACAGGTGCTAGGACAAAGACCACTATATACCAGGCCATTTAGTTAGCTGATAAATGGAAAGCAGTATGTTCTTTTGTCTCTATTTTACAGACAAAAAAAAAAAATAAGGCCTCATAAGGTTTCCATCTTGCCCAAGATCTTACTATGTGCAAACAACAAAGCTGGAAGACAGTGAGACTTGTGGAGCATCACTAAATATTGGGGAGGCAGGAAAGAGAAGGGAAACGGGAATATTTTGCTATTTATAGTATACTGAGTTACCCTCACAAACAACCTATGGCCAGCAACCAAAAGAATAAACAAAGTAACCAGTCGCCACAGCTTAAAGGGTTCAGGCTTTTCTTTTTTCCCTAGTCTTTGTGTTAGTGTGAGAGACTGAAAAGCAACATGTCAGTCTTGAGCAACCCATTTTCAAATGCATTACTCTATCTCTAAGATTGTTGGGGCTGATAAGGAATATGAAGCCTGCTGAGATTTTAGTAATATTGGGTTTTCCCTTTTGCTCAATTCCATGTTTATTTCCAAACCCCACACAAGAAGAAGCAAAGATATTAGACAAATCACATATACCAAACAACAGATAAAGTCAATGAAAGCATTGCAGACGCACCCCAGCAGAACTGAGAACTGTTATCTTTCTTTGAAAATGGGACATGGCTTGGAAAGTGAGCATCTCCATAGAAAAGCTGGAAACCCTCTCCTTAGATAAAAATCTCATTAATATTTCTTTTTGCAAGCAGAGAGGCAAAGAAAAGATTTGTTGAGATGGAGACAGTAGAAGCAGATAGCAGCAGTCCCTGGCTGCTGCTTTCACAAAGTAGAGGGAGGAAATAAAGGTTACATGAATGAGGATCGTTAATATTCACAGCAGCATCTGGTGCTGCGTTGCCAGGAGACAGTAATGAGAACGGAGCATCTTCCAGGTCTAATGGCATTGCGGCTGCCACATCAATCCTGCCGTCCCCAGAAATAAGATCTCTATCATTTGCAAACAGCAAAGCATTGGTGACTTGGCTGTCATTCTGGAAGGTCACTAAAAGATATGCAGATGAGTTGCCCATATTTCTTGAGCTGACACCCTCCAGAGCTTCCCTAAACAGCTTTCTTTTTTTTGGGGACACCAACTGACAAATCAACTTGGAAAAGGATAGAAGTACAGGTTCTTGGTGCCTGGGATCCCTAACCAACCTTGGGCTTCTGAATACATTTACTTCTAAGTCTAAGAGGTAAACTTCTTGGAGAGTTTAGTCTCATCAACCCTCTGAGTTCATAACTTGCATAAAGGTTGTAAGCTTTTCAACTGTAAGCACTAGGTGTGACTGTAAGCAGCAACCATACCCTTTATGCCAATGCTTCCATTTGGGTTCTCTCTAGAACAAACTACTAGACAAGGAGATTCAACCTGAGCTTGTTGCTTCCCATTGGCTGATAGAATTCTTTAAATAGAAAAGCTGTCCCAAAGTTGCTTGTCCCTGTTCTTCACTGGTGGGCCAAGAATTGTCGCTTTATTTGCATGTAGGCACATAGCTGCTTTTACAATCCTATCACAATTTCCATTCTTTCTTGGGAATTTTTTCTAAACATATTTTAAGATTATGTTCACAACCTGATGCAAAATTTCTTTTACATATTAGTATAAAGAACGTTCAGTGAACAAAACTATACAAAGTCATTGCCCTGATGGAAGTGTCAGCCAAGTGTGCTGAGCCAATGAACAAATACATAAACTCTAATTGAGACATTTGACAAATAGTTACTGATGATCTATTTTAAATGAAGTATTTATATAAGAATCAAAGATATGACTTGAACTTGGATGAAAGGACCCCTACCTTCTTAGAAATTACTACTCAGTACTTAAGACAATGAGACCTTAAAAATAGAAATCAAGCATGTCTGGAGATAAGAGAAAATGACTGGAGATCAGTTTATAAGGTGGTCAGAAGCTCCTTCAAAGCTCACATAGAGCTGAGACATAAAGATGTCACTCTGACATGGTACACACAGCTAGGTCACATTGATTCCCAAGAACTTTCATGAGTTGGGGGACATCTCTTCCCAAGCTCATTTCAGGGATGTCAGTAGATATGTGTGCATAGTGGCTGGAAATTAGAGAGAGCAGTGCATGAATCAGAATTTTTTTCCCAGAGTGTTGATGTCATTAAACTTTTTCCAACACTCAGATTTGTGCAGATGTCAAGAGAAGAATTCTTCTTGAATGAAGGAATGAATGGCCTCGATGAAGGCCATAGGCTACAAGAATGTTGAGTTTGTTGATAAGGGCCAGCATTCACACAACAGTCATTTTAAAGGTACAAATCCCAGATTAGCATGGAAAATTGTTAGAATAGCAAGTTCTTAGGCTTGGCCCAAATTATATAGCCCTCTGTAAAGCTCTCTTGGTAGTTTTGATGGAGTCTTATTGGTCTGGACCAAGCAGTGCTATTAGAAATGACAGGAAAGGAAGGTTGGGAAAGTAACCAGCTGACTAGAAAGGGCCCTGCAGGCTTCAGTGAGGATTTATGAAGGTTACTTGTATGTGTCAGCTTAGCTAGGCTGTAGTCCCCAGACACTCAGTCAAGCATTAGTCTACATGTTTCTGTAAGTGTGGATGAAATTAATATTTAAATCAAAGAAAT